CTGCTGTTATCTGTTGCATTGAGGCTCCTTACTTGGACTCTGGGGAGATTTTGTTGTGTATGACTGGCTTGGGTGTTCTCATTGCTCATGAAGCCCCTTGAGGTCACCTGTTTTCCTTTGCGGGATTTCAGAGCCCGTCAGGGAGTTCTTGTCATCCTTTGTTGGGTCGGCTGGCTCTCCCTGGCACAGTCTGCACTCTGAACTTCTTCTGTTGCTTTCTCAGCTGGAGAGCACCTCGTTACATCCTGGCCATGTCAGAGGCTCGGCACGATCGCGTGCGCAAGAAGTACCACATCCTTGTAGAGGGAGAAGGCATCCCACCTCCCATCAAGAGCTTCAAGGAGATGAAGTTTCCAGCAGGTGGGACTGGGAGCAGCTTTTTCTGGGGAGACTCGTGTCCAGCAGTGAGCGAAGCTGTTGGATCCTTAATGTTCTGTTAGCAGGGTCCCAGCTTAAATTCACAACAGGGATTGTATCAGCTGGCTGCTGACCCGAGGGTCATTCCTCACTGATCAGAGGGCTGTGGCTGAAAAATGAGTTAGAGGGAAGGCAGGTCGTGAATATGTGTCTCGTGTTCTAACAGCTATCCTGAGGGGCTTGAAGAAAAAAGGAATCCAGCAGCCAACACCCATACAGATTCAAGGCATCCCCACAATGTGAGTGCTTTGTGTCCCAGATTAGGCAGTGTTTTGCTGCTTCCAGCCCACCCAGCAGCACCAACCGCTTGCTCCCCTCTAGCCCTGCTCACCCTGCTCAGATCTGGAGCTCTGAGCCCTCCTGTACTGCTCCTGCTCACCATTGGCCTGTTTCTCTGATAGCCTCTCAGGAAGGGATATGATTGGCATTGCCTTCACTGGCTCTGGGAAGACTCTGGTGTTCACCCTTCCAGTTATCATGTTCTGCCTGGAGCAAGAGAAGAGATTGCCATTCTCTAAGCGAGAGGGACCCTATGGGCTCATCATCTGTCCCTCTGTGAGTTCTTGGGGCACAGTGGAGCATGGGAGAAAGCTCTCTGATGTTCAGTGACGGTTTCAGGTGCTCCCTGTGTGGGGAATTAAGGTGTTTTTTTTCTCTGCAGCGAGAGCTGGCCCGGCAGACCCATGGCATCATTGAGTACTACTGTCGCCTGCTGCAGGAGGACAGCCTGCCCCCGCTGCGCTGTGCCCTCTGCATTGGGGGAATGTCTGTTAAGGAGCAGATGGAGACGATCAAACAGTAAGACCTTGTGGGGAGGGTCCTGTGGGGCTGAAGCTGGGCTCTTTTTATTTCTAGCAGGGGACCGAGGGGTGGCATATTGGCTGGATGGCTCTGGGGAGGTGTAGGGGTGAAGGTGATGTGCCAGCTGGGTGTTATCAGCATAAGCTCTGTAAGCCCTTCTGTATACGTTTCTGCACGGGAAGAAAACTGGGTGCCCGACTGTGCCTTTCTGATCACACAGCGGGGTGCACATGATGGTGGCGACCCCTGGCCGCCTCATGGACCTGCTGCAGAAAAAGATGGTGAGCCTGGACATCTGCCGCTACTTGGCCTTGGATGAGGCTGACAGGATGATTGATATGGGCTTCGAGGGAGACATCCGCACCATCTTCTCCTACTTCAAGGTACGGGGCTGAGAAGATGTGAGCACTGTTAAGCTCAGTCCCTGCACCCACCTTTGGATGAGCACTAAATCCTTGCCTGTGCTTTGCTCCCTGTGCAGGGCCAGCGGCAGACCCTTCTTTTCAGTGCAACAATGCCTAAAAAGATCCAGAACTTTGCTAAGAGTGCCTTGGTGAAGCCTATCACCATTAACGTTGGGCGAGCAGGTGCTGCCAGCCTGGATGTTGTGCAGGTGAGGTACTTGGGAGCTCCCCCACACTATGGGGGAGGCCTCCATAGTTTGTGAGAGCAGCCAGTGCCTCCCCCACAGGGTGCTTGGTCCTCCTTCCCAGCGGGTCGTGGCATACCATGCAGTGCTGGTTTCTCTGCTGTCTGCTTGAACCTTCTCTGTGCTTCTTCCTAGGAAGTGGAGTATGTGAAAGAGGAGGCCAAGATGGTGTATCTCCTTGAGTGCCTGCAAAAGACCCCACCGCCTGTGAGTAAATATGCTTTAGCTGCTCCTGCAGTACATCTGGGGGCAGCACTGCAGCTCTGTAGCACAGCTGTAGAGATGGCAGTGAGGATGCAGCTGCTGGGCTCTGCTCTGTGCTGGGGTTGGTGAAGGAAGGAGCTGTGTTCTGTGTATGTACAAGTCCTGGGCACAGAACTGTTGTGGCCTCTGTTCAGCAAGAGGAAGTGGGTTTCTCTGGGGATTGTGCTCTTCGTCAGCACACAAAAAAGCCACTCTTACATGATATGTGTGTCGTGGCAGGTGCTGATCTTTGCGGAGAAGAAGGCAGATGTTGATGCGATCCACGAGTATCTTCTACTCAAGGGTGTGGAAGCTGTGGCCATCCATGGAGGCAAAGGTCTGTGAGGGTGCTGTGGAGGTGTGGTCCTGTCTGATCCCACTCCTTCCTGGTGTGTGAGCATGGGAGGTCCCAGCACATAGCTGTTTGTCACTGCGTGAGGATGGACTGGGGCAGTGTCAGGATCTCTGGTAGGGAGTGCAGCTTTACTTACTATCATAGCAGATGTAAGCACCATGCAGCTAGCTCCCTGCGGGGCCTGCGAGTCCCTCTGCTGCTTAATCTGGGGAAAGGACGTGTAGGTTTTCACACAGGAGAGGCTTAGACTTTGTAATGCTCAGCTTTAAGGCTGTAGTGGTTGCTGTAAGAGGTAGGACTGGGAGCTCTGACCTACTCATCTTCTGTGCTGGATGTTTACAGATCAGGAGGAGCGGACAAAAGCCATTGAGGCCTTCCGAGATGGGAAGAAGGATGTTCTGGTTGCCACTGATGTCGCTTCTAAGGGCCTGGACTTCCCTGCCATCCAGCACGTCATCAACTACGACATGCCAGAGGAGATTGAGAACTACGGTGGGGAATGGGGCCAGCAGAGGCACTGAGGGAGAGTAGCTGGGTGGCCACAGGCCAGGAGGGCTGTGCACCCATGGTGGTGGTCAGTGGGACAGGGGTGCCATGTTGCATTTGTCCTGGCCTGATCCTGTCTGTTTCTTTGCAGTTCACCGTATTGGGCGTACAGGTCGCTCAGGCAACACTGGTATTGCCACCACCTTCATCAACAAAGCCTGTGGTGAGAAACTGCGTGGGATGGGGGGAGCCTGTGGGGTGGGCTGCACTGTGTGATGCAGCTGGACAAAGAGCTGCTGCTGCTTGGGTGTGGGTGGTGTTCCCCTGCAAGCAGGGGAAAGTGATTACGGTTCACAGAGAGGTGGTGGTGACATGGGGCATTGTCACCACTTGGGTGCTGGCCTCAGGGCCCTGCACATCATTCTTTGCACTCTTGTGTTGGGCTTCTGCTAGGACTGTATCTGATCTGTGTCTCTGCCCCCAGATGAGTCGGTGCTCATGGACTTGAAGGCTCTGCTCCTGGAGGCGAAGCAGAAGGTGCCCCCTGTGCTCCAGGTGCTGCACTGTGGGGATGAGACCATGCTGGACATCGGAGGTGAGGGACCCTGTGCTGGGATGGAGAACTTGTGTGGGACTCTTGGAGTGACACGGGCTGCAGATAGGGTCCCAGCTCCCATCGCTTCAGGCTCATGGGGTGGCTCCTGTCTCCCTGCCTGCTGGGTGCCTGCTTTGTCACCTGGCCTGGCACACAGCTCAGCCTGATCTCCTTCTTCCCATTGCAGGTGAGCGGGGCTGTGCCTTCTGTGGTGGCCTGGGCCATCGCATCACTGACTGTCCTAAGCTGGAGGCGATGCAGACCAAGCAAGTCAGCAACATTGGCCGCAAGGACTACCTAGCTCACAGCTCTATGGACTTCTAGCCTGGGGACTGTGCTGTTCAGTGCTCCCCTGCACAGGCCAGGAGAGGAGGTTGGCTGCTTCTCTTCGACCTGGGGTTCACATTCTAAAACCCAGACCGACCTTGTACCACAAGACTCTCCTGTACTTCTGTGACCTGTTTTTTTGGGGACTGTCAACTGCTCAGCCTTCCTGAGCTCCTGCCCTAGATGGAAATGCGTGGAGCTGTGCTGCAGCAGCCCGATACGTCAGTGTCACACTGCTGTGAGGTGCTGAGCAGGCAGGGCGTGGTGGGGGAAACTCTAGGTGGGGCGACTGGTTTGTGGCTGGTGGGCTGCTGCCCATGCCTAGGGACTTCTATCCAGCCCCTCCAATGCCTCACAGTCTCCTTCCTCTCACCTTGATCTGTTCATCCTAGCTGTTCCTGTTAACACCAGCGGTGCTCTGGTGCAGCCAGGGCTAAGGCAAGCACGCTGTGCTTATGTCAGGTTGTCCCCTGAGAGCTGCCTGTGCTCTCACAGTATGCGTTCTGCCCCGCTGCAAGGGGTGGGCGGATGGACACCTCCTGTGGCCCAGCCTTTGCCTCTCATCCCACACACCAAAAAGGGGAAGTGTCAGAGAGAAGGAAGTCTGCCCTATGCAGTTGCTTTGGCTGAAGCAGTCACATTTCTGTGCTGCCAGCGGCCCAAGCCCCAGAGCCCTGTGTTGGCTGCTGGGGCAGTGCTGGGCCCATGGAGAGACCAGTGAAGGATGGCATCCTCTACGTCCAGCACTGCAGATTTGGAAAGGTAAAGGGCAGAGGGGGGATTTGTGGCTGGATATAGGGTTTGTACTGCTGGCATGCTGCTTGGTCTGGGCCTGAGTCCCCCACCATCTGGGAAGGGAGTGAGCAGAGCTGGACCCCTTTAGGCTCCAGCTGTAGTGGTGGTGCTCTCCCACTGCTGAGGGATCCATCTGTGCATGCACAAGCTTGTGCTCACCCCTATGGGCTGTGACCTTGCCTGGTCATTGCGTGGCGTGCAATGAAACAATAAAGGTGTGTTACTGAGGCACAGCTCCGTGTGCGTGCGAGCGGGGCAGCAGGTGGGTTGCTGGGTTGAACCTGGTCCTGGGGCAGTGCCGTGGGAGAAGCGATGGCTTTGTGTGCTTGGATCTGTGGGGACATCGTGGGTGACATCATGGCAGCCCCTGGAGCTGCGTGTTCACAGACTGCCTCCTGCTAGCTTTCTCACGGCGCAGAGTGCTCTGTGCTCACTGTGTGTGTGGGTACCTAGGGTGTGCTAACAGCTCTGCTCCCACCTCGGGACTCCGCGAGAGCCAAGTCCTAGAGCTGAAGCATGCAGCTCCCACATGCATGGGGCTGATGCTCAGCCATGTGGGAGGCTGATGGGTATTTTGGGTGCTCTGCCACACATCTGTTTTCCAGGGCAGAGGCTCTGCTGTGCACTTGAGGTAAGTGGGGGCTTGCAGCCCCTCCATCTCGTGATGGGCTGGGAAGGGACGGGTGCTGCAGAGCCTCCCCTGGGAGGAAGTAGGCTGCAAGCTGCAGGGCCTGGCTGTGTGCAGCAGATGTGAGCTGCCAGCAGGAGCACGGCAGCTCAAAATGGCTTTCATTTGCATGGCGGTCCAGCATCGGAACAGCTTTCTGTGCCCTGTTGCAGTGCGCATCCTCATAGGCAGAGACCCCTGCGTGCCCATTCCTAAGCCACATGGACGTGGCAGACAGCTCCCTGCTGTCACTTTTTCCCCATATCCACACCCTTCCTCCATTCCAGCGGACCTGGAGGAAGATGCGAGCACAGCTTTTTGCTGCCAGCCCCTTTGGTGTGGCCCGCATGGAGAAGTTTGATGCACGGGATGAGGGCACAGTGCCTGAGGCCTCCCTGTGGCGCTGCGCCCGCCGTGTCATCCGCCTGTCTGACTGTGTCTCCGTTGGCCCCATGGGCACTGAGAGCTGCCCCAAAGCCACTGCCGCCTTCTACCTCACCACCACGGAGAAGAACTATGTGCTGGCAGCTGAGCATCGGGATGAGTGGATCGAGCAGCTCTGCCAGCTGGCCTTTCAGGTACACCCAGCATCTTCCCGCTGCTTCAGGCAAGGAGAATGAGGGTGCTGGGGGGGGGGGCCGCATTCACCTCCCTCTGTTCCAGGTCAAAAAGGAAGCAGCACAGAGTAGCAGCACCGGGCTGCAGCCCATCCCTATGGAGGAGAACTGCCTCTACTCCTCGTGGCAGGATCGTATGTGCTGCAGTGGGGCTGGGGGGGAGGGGCAGGGCTTTCCACTGGGTGTGCAGCAGGACTGACCTCACTCTGCTTCCACAGTGACAGAGTTCCCAGTGCTGGTGCTGAGGACGGAGGCAGCCGCCCGCTGTGAGCTGCACGGGCACTACGTGCTGGCAGCCCTGCCCCAGAGCTTGACGCTGAAGGATGCGCAGTCCCAGCAGCCCCTGCTCACCTGGCCCTACCCGTTCCTCCGCAAATTCGGCCAAGATCAGGTAGGTGCACCCTCCCCAGGGGCCTCCACCTGCAGGAGTAGCAGGTGCCAGCCCCTCACCCTGCCCTCTGTCCCGGCAGGACATCTTCTCCTTTGAAGCCGGCCGCCGCAGCGACTCGGGCGAGGGCACCTTCACCTTCAGCACCCCGCGAGCCCCAGAGCTGTGCCGGGCCGTGGCCGCCGCCATCGCCTGTCAGCAGCAGGGCCGGGAGAGCCCCCAGCTGGCAGCCCAAGGTCTTGGCACCCAACCCTGGGGGCCAGAGGCTGAAGACCCCCAGCACAGCCCAATGCTGGGCCGGCCGCAGCCAGGCTCGCACTCGGCCTCACATCCCTCGCCCAACCTTCTCCGCTTCCCCACCGTGGAGCCGGAGGCTGCTGGCCCTATATTGTATGCCTCCATCGCTCGCGGCCAGCAGCCCCACTTCGGGCCGTGCCCGGCCAAGCCGCTCTCCGAGCATCTCTATGAGAACATCTTCACGGCCCAGCCTCGGCCTCCGGCGGAGGAAGAGCAGGAGGAGGAGGAGGAAGGGCGCTGGGAGCTGGGCTGTCGCCAGGCCCCCGAGGGCCACAGCAGCGAAGCCGCCGCCCCCTACCCCGCCCGCAGCGCCCCGCAGCCCCACAGGCAGCGCTGGGGGCCGGGGGGAAGCAGAGGCGATGCGGAGGAACACTCCAGGCCTAAGGCTCAGCGCACCCTGCGGGCCAAACTGGTGCGGCTGCTGAGTCGGGACGGCCCCGGCGCGCGGGACTGGCCGTGAGCGGGAATAAAGGCCGTGCACCGCCCGACCCCGGGGCCGCGGCCGGCCGCCGGGGGGCGCCGTAACACCCTCCGTCATTGGTGTAACCGAGCGGCGGCTCCGCCCCGCCCCGCTCCTGTATAAGCTCGCGCCGGTCGGGGAGGGGGCGGTGCCCGAGTTCGAGTCCCCCGGCCGACTGCTTCGCTCGCCCGTTGCGCCGCGACCCGGTCGGCCCCGCACCGCCGGGCGGCCCTGCCCCGCCGCGGGTGAGTGAGAGCGGGCGGGACCGCGGCGTGTGGGGAGGAGCGGGGACCGGGGCTGAGTAGTGGGTCGGGGGTGGGAAGCCGGTTGCTTGGGTCAGGGGAAAAGGAGGCTGTGTGGGGCGGGTGGGGCTGGCTGGGGCAGGGGACACCCCGTGGGGCGAAGCTGGAGCGGGGGTCGGGGCGTGGCTGCGCTTCGCGGGACCCGGGGACCCCACAGGACGTGGCTCTGCACATCTTTAGATAGAGGGCACAGCCTCCGCTGGAGGGGGCTTCTGTCTCGTCCCTCCTCTCGAACAGACCCCGGCCCGGTGCTGCCGCAGCCCTCGGAGCGGGGAGCCCCGTCGGGGCTGTGCGGCCGCTCCATGCTGGGGAATGTCTGACACGCAGCCTGCGCCCAGCGAGCAGGGAGCAGCGGGTGTCAGCTTACACGCCTTATATAGCCCGGGCCGGGCTGGGGGGAGCGGGGGCACCGCGGGCTCCGGCCTCGCAGCTTCTCTGCCCCGTTGGGGCACGGGGAGATGTCGCAGAGCCGGGCCTGCCACGTAGGGCTCAGGAGGTCCTCGCGGTTCACTTTAGGCGAGGTACAGACGCGTGCCCCGTGCCTGGGCCGGCTGACAGCTGTCAGTGTGAGCACGGGGCATCCATTCCTCCTGCCCAGAACCCTGCGGAGATGGGCTCACACCCAGGTACAGCTGCTCGACCAGCTGCTGCTGCTGCTGCAGCCCAGCTGCTGTGCCAGGCGGCTCTAGTGGCAGTGTGCTGCTGTGCTGCTCACCAGGCAAAACGCCTGTGGCTGCCATCCCTCGTGCTGCTGCCTCTGTGCTGCCTGGAACAGCTCCTAGCAGCTCGAGGTTCTGTAATAGTGCTGCAGAGCCCGTCCTGGGCTTGGGATGGTTGAGTCTCACTGTGTGCATTACTCTGGCCCCTCGGCTCCAACGCCCCTTAGGAGATGCTGATGGATGTGGGGTGCGTCCCTAACCACGCTGTGGGATGGTCAGGGTGGAGCTCCTGCTGGCAGTGTGACCTGTCTCCTCCTGCCCAGTCCTGCTGGGCCCCCTCCTCGCCTGCTCCCCATGTTGTTCCCATGCAGCATGATGTCAGGATCACACCCTCTTCCATTTTGCAGAGATGGGCGAGATGGAGTCCTATAAGGTGATGCTGAACGGGCCGGCACCCTGGGGCTTCCGGCTGCAGGGAGGGAAGGACTTCAGCATGCCGCTCTCCATCTCCAGGGTAAGAGGCGCTGAGAGCTGGTATCGCCCACCCTCCTGCTGTCCATGGGTGGGAAGCTGCAGCTGTGTCCAAGCAGCTGAGGCAGAGCTGTACGGGAGATGTGAGCAAGCTGGGCCTTGGAACACTGGTTCTCACTCTGCTCAACTCCCTTAGAGCCACCCAGACCCTTATCAGCTCTGGTTTGGCCAGAGGGAATATGTGCTGGGGGTGTTCCGGGCAGGGAACTGCAGCGGCGATGTGAAATGCTGTGCAGGCTCCTCAGTGTCACGATGCGGTGGGAGGCAGGGGGGCCTCTTCCGGAGCCAGCCCTGTGCGGGGGCAGCTCTCTATGCGTGAACTGCGGGACCGGCCTGGTCTGCACTGTGATACCAGGCTCAGTGCCTGGGGACCAGCTTTGTGCAGGCACTGTGCCTGAGACTGCACTCCCACTGGTCCTGGGACAGGTCCCATCCGTAAAGCCAGCCCGCTTCTGAAGCAGGGGCATGTACAAAATGTGCTGCCAGCTGCTTACATCTGGGGCACCTGGTGGGAGCTTTTCGTGTGATGCTTACCCCGGTCGAAGCTGTCTCTTGGGTTTGTGTGGCTCCCCGTCCTTGGGTGGCCTGCACCACGGGTGCTTGCAGCAGCTCCAGCTGCAGAATTGCCTTATAAGCCTTGGAATGTGTCTGCACCGCCCGTGCTGCTGACGCTGGGGCAGCTGGCACAGGGCTGTGGCTCTGAGCACAGCACTGGGCACAGCGTGGGGCCTGCCCCCCGCACTGTGTGCACATCCCAGGCCACGGGTCTCTGCAATACCCACCCCAGGGGCACTGTGCAAGGCTGGAGTCACCCATGCCACTGCCCTGGGGCCGACCAATCTTTGCAAGGAACAGAGACGGCTTCAGCAAGTTTATTCTCTAAAAAATGTTTCTCTTGGCTGCAAGCCAGGGCTTAACAAAGGGTCTGATCAGGCGGTGGAGCCTCCGAGAGCCTGGGGCTGGGGCCTCATGGAGCAGCAGCGACGTGTGTGCAGGCCAGCCCCGCTGCAGGGCCTGGAGAGATGCTGCTGGCAGAGCAGGGCAAGGCTCAACAGGGTCCCAGCACCTTGGCTGCCCAGTGCCAAGGAGGATGCTCCCTTGTGCCTGCCTGCCACCTCGCTGGTTGACTTGGAGCCCTGGATGGAGGTATCTAGCCAAGGTGGCACTCTGAGGTGTGAGGACAAAGGCCCAGCTGGGCGGAGAGGCAAGGAAGGAAGCTGTGACTGGTGGGGCTGGGCAGGAGCCTCAGCCCACGGTGCAGGAAACGGGAAGGCTGGAGCAGCTCCTGGCTGGAATCTGTTGAGCTGGCACCTGCCGAAGGGCTTTCCTGGCGTGCTTGGGTGCGGCGGCGTGACGCAGCCTGCCATGCTCCCCCCTGCCCAGGCAGCCATGTGAAAACCTCTCCCAGCTCCTACTGCTGCCTTAAACCCATGCTGCTTCCCAGCCCAAGGGGCAGCAAGCTGGGGCTTGCAGGAGTGGCCGGGAGCCGGCCAGAGCTGCTTGCTGCCTCCAGCATCCTTCTGTGCCAGGTAGTGCCAGAGGTACTGCAGGGGATGCTGTGACCCTCTGGGAATGGCAGTGGAGCCGGGGTACCTGGTGCTGTGCTCAGGGCGTGCTGGGCTCTGCGCATAGCCGTGATGCTCGGTGGCAGGGATTTTCCAGCCCTCTGACAGGGCTGGGAATCTGGCTCGCTCCTTTTATGTTCATGTTGAACAGGGCTTGAGGAAATACTTGGTCTGAATCCAAACGCCTCGAGTTGTTCTGTGCTGGAGGAGCAGGAATGGCTGCAGCCTGCCCACGTCTGTCTGTCTGAGTGTCTGTCTGTCAATACCTGAGAGCTGTGTTCAGTGGTGCAGGGGCTAGGGCGCTGCTTATCTCCAGCAGAAATAGGGGTGTCCGGGGGTGGTCCAGGCATATCCCAGCCCCATTGCTGGGCTGGATGAAGGGAACAGACAAGACAGGAGCACAACATAGCTGGAAGATATAGGGGGCTCTCCCCGCCCCTGTGAAGGCTGGGAGCATGCCTGTGGTTTACAGCCCATGGGGTGAGCTGTGGGCTGCATGACAGGCCCTGACTCACCCTGCTCGCTTCCTGCCCCAGGACCTTGGGGCCGGCTCCATGACCTCCTGCTGCAGCTGAGCCAGCACAGCCTCTGCTGCTGGGCATTGCCTCAGAACGCCTGGGCTGTCCCCAGGCCACCTGTAGGGGTGGTGCTGGCACATCTCCCAGCAGTGCTGTGCTGCAGTGTGGTGCCTGGGGCAGGGCTTAGCTGCTATAAGGAAGAGAGGCTCTCTGGGATAACAAACTGGGGAACACAGGGAGCTCTGGGGGTTCCTGCATTAGGCCCAGTGTGTTCGGGCTGCAGTGGCACTGTGCTGTGGGAGCTGCCCGGTAGCGGGGTTAGGAGCTGTTCAGGGTGTGCTCAGTGGCCCACTCCATGGCTCTGGGCACAAGAGCATCGCTCCATTTACTGCTGGTTTCCCTGACACTCTCTGTTCTGCAGCTGACTCCAGGTGGAAAGGCTGCCCAGGCCGGTGTGGGAGTGGGCGACTGGGTGCTGTACATTGATGGGGAGAGCACCAGCGCCATGACGCACATCGAGGCCCAGAACAGGATCCGCGCCTGCGGGGACAGGCTCTGCCTCACTCTGAGCAGGTAGGATGTGTGGATCCTGAGAACTTACGGTGCAGCTGGAACAAAGCTGTGGCCCTGTACCCGTCGCCTCCCCGAGCCCAATGGCCCTGCTGCCATGAGGCAGCATCACTCATCTCCCGCAGCCCTGGCTGGATCTGAGGGCTCTGCATGGCTGGATGGGGCTCATCCCATCTGCGGCAATCCCGGCTTTAAGCCGTCACCTCAGACCGTGGGTTAGTGCTACCTGGTTACAGTTCCTCAGTGTCAGCATGCCAGCCATGATGGATGCTGGGCACGTGCAGATCTGCCTCACTGTGTCCTCTCTTGCAGAGCCCAGAACCACCTGGGGAAGCCACAGAAGGTAGGTGTTGCTCCAGCACTGCTGGCAGCTGCTCAGCCGTGGGCTGGGGGTGGGGAAGTCTCTGAGCTTACTCAGAGGAGCGGACTTTGCTCCTGGGGCCCAAGGGCTTCTTGGGGACCAGGATGTGTTTGGAAGGCTTGCAAATTCCCCGCATGTACAGCAGCTGCAGCACAGCCTTCAGGCCCCATGTTCGCTAGTGCTGGAGCTTGCTCTTGCATGGGGAGGCAGGGCTGGGGCCAGTGGCTCCTAAGCAGAAGCCACTTGCATGCTTTCTGCTTTGTACCTTGGGATGGTTGCGAGCAGCGTGAGTGCATGCAGAGCCCCACCACGGGGCACTTACTAATCCTCAGGCTGAGTTTGCAGTCTGGTGTCCCTGGGCGGGATGCCCCGCAGAGAGGGGACCTGGCTGGCAGAGCTGCACATGCTGTCAGTGCCAATGTGTCGCTGCGAGGCTCTGCGGGCAAGAATGGGTCCAGCATTCCCACCTGGCTGCCTGCTGTGCTGCCTGGCCCAGGGCTGCCCCTTGCATGCTGCTTGACGTGTGAGCCCTTGTCTGTGTGTTTTGTCTCGCTCAGGACTCACTCCCCTGCTCTGAGCCCCTGAAATATAACTTCGCTCCCAGCACCGCCCTCAACAAAACAGCTCGGCCCTTCGGGGCCGGCTCGCCTCCGAACCCACGGCCCGGGCTGGTGACGAAACCCGTGACGTACGTGCCCCTGGCGCCCGCCTGCACCCCCCAGCACAATGGGTATGTTGCTGTCCATCCTGCTCTCCAAGAATACCAGGGAGCCCGCTGCCCGGCCCTGCTGCACCTGGCATGCCAGGCACCTGTGGGTGGGAGTGGGCAGTGGTTCCCGTGCTGAGGTGCTGAGACTGAGCACCAGGACTGTCACACGTGGGGACACACACACATGCCTCTTCCTTGCTCGGGGCTGTGTCCTCCTGCACTGGCCTTTGGAAAGCGCTGCAGGGCATGGCACAGCAGCTGGTGCAGGATGCTCACTGCTGTCTCTGCCAGCCCTGCGACAAGGGGCAGGAAGGCTGTGGTTGCAATCAGCAGCACCAGCCCAGGGCCATGACACAATGCTGCGGGGATGTGCAGGACAAAGGGAAGCCATAGAGCCCTGCACAGTGCTGCCCATGCCAGCCCTGAGCCCTGTATGGATGCTCCAGTCTGCACATTGTGTACTCTGCTGCTCTGTGCCCGCCCTGCTGCCGCTCCTGCCCACAGGACCCTGGAGCTGGTCAATGGGGCACATCGCCCTGGCTGTTCTCTGCACCCGGTGGGTGCAGAGTGGGGCTGAGGATGGCATGATCAGATCTGTTGCCCCTGCAGCCCATTGTGCTCTCAGCCATGGGTGAGATGGGTACGTGTTGCAGGGGCAGGGAAAGTGGTGCAGGCTGTAGGTGAGCTCTGGAAACTTCTTGGGTTCTGTGGGTCTAATTTCACTTTCCTTCTCTTTCTTTCTTCTCTCCCTTTCTCTTTCCCTCTCTCCTACAGGTGCAGAGCCTTGACAAGTCAGTAAGCCTTTTGCCTGCTCTCTCTAGCCTTCCTGCATGCCTCTTGCCCTGTTAGTGGCCCACTGGTGCCCTGTTCTCTGGGCAGGGTTAATTAGCCCAGGGGCTCAGTGTCCCCAGGCTGACAGCTCCTGGCTGCAAGCTGTCCTTAGCCTGAAATGCAAGTGCTGCTGACTGCAAGGGCGTCAGGGTGTCCTTACACCAGGTCCCTCTCCAGCACAAGAAAGGCTGTGCTATGCACCCTTCTGTCAGCATCACTGGTGCTTATTGGGCACCATGCAGTTCACCTGTGTGTGATTTGGATCTTGGCTTATCCTTGCCCCATTCTCTCTTCTCCTGGCCTTTAGGGCTGGGCTCAAACTGCAGAGATGGGAAATCTGTCCTGAGAAGACATCCTTAATGGCCCCTTCCTTTGCTGATGGTGTGGGGTGGGGAGGAGGACAACGTATGATGTGTCAAATGTGTGCTGTCGTGCTACTGCTGTGAGCTTGAAGAGATGTGGGATGGCCCCAGGGGGGATGCTGTGGGGATCCCTGTGGGTCTGTGGGGCAGTGGTGTGTGCCGGTCCCTGTGCCACCAGGCAGGGGCAGGACAGTGCTGGCTGAGCACCTGCCCCTGTTGCTCATAGGAAACCACAGGAGCACCCCAGTTCCCCCAAATATGACCCCAGCAAGTTGCATCTGATCGAGGATTCTGAGGACTGGCAGCCCCGCAACACCAGCACCCAGTCCCGTTCCTTCCTCAAACTGGCCCAGCTGACGGGCACAGACAGCTGTAAGTCCCTGCGGGTCTGGGGCTGCCTGCGGGTTCCTGGAGTCAACCTGGCTGCGGGGTGAGGTGGTGGCGCTCTGACTGCAGTGGCCCTGTGTGTGGCATGGGCCATATGGGGGCATACGGTGGTGCCCGGGGTGCTGGTATGGGGGAAGCAGGGAGGGGTACCCAGTTCTCATCCCTTCGCACTGTGTGGGGCCGTGCTGCCGCCGACTGACTCTGTCTCCTCCTTTCTCCCTGCTGCACTCAGTTGAGGACCACGAGGACGAGCTGGTTAGGAAGCCCAGGTAAGGGGCGGCACAGGGTGTACCACGGCTCCTGGCTATGGTGCTGCGGGGATGGGGCTCAACCCCCCCCTGTTGGCCTCACACTCATGGCTGGTGGCGAGTGCAGCTCCTGTCCTCTGCTGTCCTGTCCTGTCACCTCCTGCTCCCTGTCCCTCTCTGTCCTCTCACTCTCTCTAGAGCTGAGGTATTCATGGAGCTGCAGCACCTGCACTGCTCTCGCCTCTGTGATGGGCACCGCCAGCACTGGGCCACAGCTGTGTCCGTCCTGTTACGAGGGTCCTGCCTGGGCACTGTGCTGCTGCTGTCCCCAGTCTGGGCATCCCCTGCAGGACCCTGGGCACTGCTGGCACTGGGGAGGCCAAGCTGCAGACGCAGCGGGTTGATGGGGCCTGCTGGCACTGGTGTGGCCTGACTACTGCTGTTGGGAGGTACTGGGCTTTATTTGGGCCTTGGGTAAAAGGTGCTGTGACTGTGGTGTGGGGCTGGAGGGGAGCTGGACTGGTATGAATGCTGCTGCATCACTATGGGGCTGGAGATAAGCCATGGGAGATGCTCCATGCTGTGTGCTGGTGATTCACCTTTGCGTCGCCATTTTCTCGCCGCCACAGGGGTCCCCGTGTGTCATTTTGGGGTACAGAGGAGGAGTGGTGAGTGCTGGGCCGTTACAGGGGTTCATGTGGGTTCTGCCCTGTGCTGGCAGCTGGACAGGACCAGGTCCATGGTGCCAGCTGAGCGCCTGCCCCTGTTGCTCACAGGCAGTCCATGCACCCCCCCGGCACCCCCACGTGTGACCCAGGCAAGCTGCGGCTGATGGAGGACGCTGAGGACTGGCAGCCCCGCACCGGCACCTCCCAGTCCCGCTCCTT